TACTGTTGCAACTGGCAGTTCTTCCATAATATTAATATTAATTAATAATAATATTAATTTTCACGGTGTATATTTCAGCTGGTGAGGAAAAAATACCTCTGTAATATTCACATTTGTAAGGACAGCTTAGTGAATGTCTTATGTACATCTACTGATGCCCTCCTTAGTCAACAGTTGACTGTTGCTGTTGTCCAGGAATTGATGTCACAAGATGGAACCCAGCTTGCATCAGGTGTTTTGATCCTTATCCATAACGCCCTCCTGCTGGTGGATCAGCACTGATAGCCAGTTATTGCTCATCTCCTGCCGTCCTCCATCTTAACACCTTTCTCCCGTTCCAGAGCCAGCATAAGGCTCTCTCTCTCTCTGCTGCCTCTCCCAACCTTCGAACTGCTGTCTTTCTGTCCTTCCCAGTTAGCCCCACAGCTCTCAGCTCTCTCCACACTGAATAGGGAATCCTCTGTATCCAACCGCCACCAGGAAAAAAACACCTCTGCTACCCTTTCCCTCTGCAGTTTTGTACCAGATCCTCATATTTAGCATGTTTCCTCTCAAAGGCCTCCTCACATCCTTCCTCTCATGGCACCGTCAGCTCAATGAGGATGATCTTCCTCACTTAAGGGGACAACATCACCACATCTGGCCTTAGGGATGTTTTTACAACCTCTGGAAACTGCAGCCTTCCTCCAAGGTCCAGTCTCATGTCCCATGCTGGAGCTTTATGCAGGAAAGAATCCTTGATTTTCCTTGACCTTGTCCACTTCTCACCCTCTCTGACAAATGCAACTGCGTTTGTAAATCCCCCATGAGCTTGCCGTTTCTTTTCGCCTCTTTCTCCAGGATATCCAAGAGTGTCATCAAGGCCTTGTCATGCCATCTATAACTACCTAGTGGAAGTGCCACCCTGCCCCCAGAGAGAGAAGGTACCTCTCTCTTCACAGAACCAGCAATTTGATCTTCCCTCACACCCCACATTTGCAGATCCAGTGGTAATGAGAGGGTGTTGTAGACCGCCCACCTCAGGAAAGAGATACGAAAGGGCTCCAACCTCCACAATTCTGTCCAAGTCAATGTCTTTCAGGAGGAGTCCACTTTGTCCATTTGTCCACTTGTCTCCCTGCACTTCGATCTCCACTGTCCTGGACCTTTGGCTCTCCTCCCGAGGTGAATAGCATGACAAGTCCCTTTTTGCCGACCCTGTATTTATTAGGTTTGTGTTGTGAAGATTGTGTCTTGCTTTTTATAGGTTATACAAAAATAGTTAAAGTAGGCAGCTGCGTCAGGCTGCAAAGGAAGAAGTAAAGGTTCATTCCATGCTCAAAAGAGAGGAAAAGAAACACAACGTTTCGGCTGTGGAGCCTTCATCGGAAAGAACCCAAAGAAGGATCTACAGCCGAAACGTGTTTCTTTTCTTCTCTTTTCAACATGGAATAAACTTTTACTTGCTCCTATAGAAAAATAGTGCATATAAATATAGGCCATATGTAGACTTCAATGTAGTACTATCTAAATACTTCTGAAATCCTCTCCTTCAATTCTATATGAACCACTGTGTTTTACTGTTTTAATTACATTTTCTCCGAGAATTTTCCCTTTCATTAACAAGAAGGGCTTCTGTGACTGAGGTCCAGAGGCACACAAGAAGATTATTAAGCACTTCATCTACAAAATCTAGGATATGAAACAACAAACATAAGAGATAAGCAAGACTATCCTAGTTACATCTTTATAATGCACTCACTTGATATCAGAAGGATAAAACTGCTGCTTCATTCATTGGTAATGTCAGAGTTTTGTTTCCTTCCTTGTGATGAGTCCAGTCATCACAGAGATGTTTTATTTATGAACATAGACATACATTACAGACAAAATTGTATAATTCAGTGAAAATATATTTAAAGCATATGACAATCTGGTTTCAGAAACAAAACAGCCTGTTTAACAGACATCTAAAAGCTTCAATGTTAAAAGTCTGATGCTACAAAAATAAAATACAGTAGATGTTCTGAGGAATCTGCACAGTAGGTATTGGTCACTTTGTTAGAGTACAGAAAAGTGTTATATGTAATAATTAAGAGCATAAACAACACCAGTAATATACAAGGTAATTATGAACTCAACATACCATTTAATTTTAAGTGCTAAGTCTCAAAGCCTTTACAAACATGCCCAAATAACCAAGTGATCATTTTTATTCTTCCTTCTTTCCCTTTAGAACAGAGATACAAAATCACAGAGCATCACATGGGCTTCTGATTTTCATTCCCCTTCACTCTTAAAGACTTACTCCAGATGAATCAGATATTGATTTAATTGGCCTTAGTAACAAGCTTTTCCGAGCCTGAAAATCATTAAGGAGAAAGAGTTCCTGATGAAACGTGCTTGGGCCTCTGTGGGCCCAAGAGAGCCCTTCT